TCCCAATATTCTTATTTCTAATAAATACCGTAAAACCCCTTTCTTTTTTATTTTTTTTTTTGTGTTGTGTTGGTGGGGGTGTTTTGTGTGGGGTTGGGTGGGGTGTGTGTGTGGTGGGGGGTGTGTGTGGTGTGGGGTTTTTTGTGTGTGTGGTGTGTGTGTGGTGTGTGTGAGAGTCTTGTCGGTGTAAAAACTGGGCCCCAAATTTTGTGACCTACTAAACCCCCCTGGGACCCCCCAGCACCGTCTTACCCTGTTGCCTTAAAAGCTTTTCCCACCACCTTCTCACACTCGTCAACACTATATTCTCTAATCTATGCTATTTCATTTTAATTCTGGTAATAGCTTGCAGGAGGGTGACCATTATCAAACAATAAAAAAAACAAAAAAACGGGGCAATAACCGGTTACTTCCCCCTTTACCCACCAAACCCTTTTTAACCCCACCCCCAAATAACCAAATTTCCCCCCCCCACTTTACCCAAGGAGCCACCTTTAAACATAAACCCAAATTTTTGGGAAAACTTGCGTGACGTTTCCAGGCCAGTGAAGTGGCCAGGCCTAAACCCCCCCCGGTTTCCTTTGGGGAAAAAAATTTTTTTCGCTTTTCCCCTTTACTTTCTTTAACTAATAACTTTTAATTATCACTTATATTGTTAGGCCCCCACCACTGTTACTTTTAGTGTATTACGCGCCTTTTAAACCCAAGGGTTTTTGGGCCTTGTTAAGTTTCACCCCAACCCCCCCCTTTTCTTTTTTTTTTTTTTTGTTTTGTTTGGTTTTTGTTATTTGTGTTTTGTTGGGTTGGGTTTGGGTGTTATGTGTTTTGAAGTGTGTGTGTGTGGTGTGTGTGTGTGTGTTGTGTGTGTTGTGTGGTGTGTGTTGTGTGTTTTGTGGTGGTGTTTTGTGTGTGTGTGTGTGTGTGTGTGGGTTTGTGTGTGTTGGTGTATTGTGGTGTGTGTGTGTGTTGTGTGTGTGTGTGTGGTTTTTGTGTTGTGGGGTTTTGTTGTTGTTGTGGTGTTGTTTGTGTGTGTGGTGTGGTGTGAGTGTGTGTGTGGTGTGTGTGTGTGTGTGTTGGGGTGGTGTGTGTTGTGTTGTGTGTGTTGTGTGTGTGTGTGTGTTGTGTGTGGTGTTGTGTGGTGGTGTGGTGGTGTGTGTTGTGTGTGTGTGTTTTTGGGTTTGTGTGTGGTGTGTGTGTGTGTGTGGTGTTGTGTGTGTGTGTGTGTGTGTGTGTGTGTGTGGTGTGTGTGTGTGTTGTGTGTGTTTTGTGTGTGTGTGGTGTGGTTATGTATGTGTGTGTGTGTGTGTTTGTGTGTGTTGTTTTTGTGGTTGGGGTGGGTAGTTTGGGTTTTGGTTGGTTTTTTTGTTTGGTTTGTTCCTTTTTTTGTTGGGTTTGTTTTTTTGTGTATTTGTGTTTGTGGTTTTGTTGTGTGTTAGTCTTTACTATTGTGGTTTTCCCCGGGTTGGGAAATCATTCCTGCCCCGCTTTCCCCTTATCGGCTTTTCTGTCCCTCCCCCCCTTTTGCCTCCTTGAGCCTTTCCCAACCTTTTTCTTTAAAATTTTGGTTCGCCTTTTTCCCTTTTTTCCTCTAAATTCCACTTGCCGGGGTTTTTCCAATTGGGGTGCAACCTAGGGCCCAAAAAAACCAAGTTACTTCTGAAGTTCCCTTATTAAGGGTTGGAACCCCTTTTCTGTGTTTTGGTTTTTGTTTGTTTTGGTTGTTTTTGTGGGGTTTTCCCCTTTTTCCCCCTATTTGGGGTTCAGGGGGCGTTCCCGTTTCCCCCCCCTTTAACCTTTCCTCTCCTTCCCCTTTGGCTCTTAATACCCCGTTTAAAAAAAATTTATTTCCCCCCCAACTTTTCCCCTGCTTTCCAGGGGGGGGGGGGGGGGGGGGGGGGGGGGGGGGTGGGGGGGGGGGGGGGGGGGGGGGGGGGGGGGGTTTCCACGACACTTTACTAAAAAAAAACCCCTTTTTTATTACTTCAATTTTGGGACCTTGTTCTGGTCCCTTTGGAAAATCCGTCTTTTTCCACCCTTTTCTATTCCCAGCAGTTTTTTTTCGTTATCATGTCTCCCCTGACCCTCCTGTCCTCCAGTGTCGTCAGGGGCCCATTTCCCCCACCTTTTTCGTAGGACAATCCCCCTAGCTTGGGACAGTCTTTTTACAAACCTTTGCACTTTATCTAAAAATTTACGTGCTTTACTAGGGGTGGATTCCAAACTGGTGCCATACTCCAGTATGGGCCTGACGTAAATGTAACAGATCTTAAACGAATCCTTACTGAATATCGGGAAAGCTATCCGTAGGTTTCCAGGCGCCCGATGCTGCAGCAGTTATCTGATTGATATGGCCTCAGGGGATATGCTCGGGGACTAAGAAATCGTAATGACACGTTGCAAAAAAACCATACCCCCGGCCGGGGTTGAACCCCCGGTCATAGAGTTCAAAACTCCACCCGTCGCGTTTGCCACAGACCAGCTAGCCCAAAATTTTGAGACTCTTGACCCCGGGGTTTAATCCCGGGCCCGGGGGGATGGTTTATTTGCTCGGTGTTATACCACCCCCAGATCTTTTTTCCCTTTAGTGAGGTTTGCAGTCTTTGGCCATCTAAACTATATTGTGTCTGCGGTCACTTTTGCCCTTCCCCAATCTTCATGACTTTGCTTTGGCAGGGTTAAATTTAAGGAGCAGTTTTTCTGGGACAAGGCTTTTAGCCTTCCAGGTCCTTTTTTAGCCTCCTATCCTCACCGATTTGATTCTTTTCATTAACTTCGCATCTCTGCAAAAAAGGACACTTCTGGTCCCACCCCCTTTTGTTATGTCGTTCCATATCCAAGAACAGCACCCCC